AGGGAAAAATATGGGGTAGCCCATAAGACTTTTCCCAGATATTTTGCATATGGGCCCCATGTGGGATTGTTACCTGGGACATGTTTCTATTTGCATTAATACAATGTTTTGTCCAAAATAGACCTTAAATGACATTTATAAAGTTTGACCTACAAAACTTACAGTATATCCCTATCTCTATAACCGTTAATAGAGACTTAATCCTATCAATAATCTGAAATTGTTTCAGAATATGCATGTTGCTATTTGAACAAGTGCAACGTTTTGTCTAAAAGTGACACGAAATGACATAATTGACCTTTTGACCCAAGGTACATTGTAGCATATGCATATCTTCATAACCGTCATTCAGTTTTTTTGGGAAAATACTGTATATGTATATATTTGATTTTAGTCCGAAAGTGATCAGAAATGACATTTCTGATCTTTGACCCATAACCAGCATAATTATATATACTGTATCTGTATATCAGATATAAATGCTCTAATCTATAGGCTCTAATGAAGAATTTTGTCCTATGGTCAACGGATATATATCGTACATCTGACTTAATTACCTAAAAATATCCATCAAATTCTTTATAAATTTACTTACAGTTTACTTCTCTAAAATTGTAGGGACTTAATTATGGTCTTAAATGCCTGAAAATGCTTCTATTTACTTTAACCGAAAATTTTGTTAGAGAATACTGAATGCTTATTTTGATCTTTGACCTTAGTAATCTAACATTCCATATTTATTTTATTGAATCATTTATTTATTTTATTTCACCCAACAGCGTGAACGCCAATAACAGGGAGCATAAATACAATACAATATAAAAACATGAGAAACATTAAAAAATATCCGACTTTTAATATTATTTTTGTTTTATTAACATAAGAAAAAATGTTTCTTCTATAAGGCCCCATAAAAAAATTATTAGTTTATCACCCTCTCCCTCATCACTTTTGGGGAAATTACTTGAACAGCTCAGGATTTCTTGCAAATATGTTTACTTGTACCGTACAACACAAACATATTTTTTAAATATAAATTTGATTCCATGCTTATGACTTTTTATATATTTGTCCTTAACCATTGATTTACTTGCGAACATCGGTAAAATGGGGACGGGGTTAGCAAAAAAATAACCTCCCTCCCTCATCAGTTTTTATTCTTTGATAAGGTGATAAACAAATATTTTTTTTTATGGGCCCTAATCTATATTATAAGCCTGCAGCTGTAATACCTTGTATTGATTGTTAAGGTCGAGACGCCACCTTAAGTGTGCGACTAATAACATGTCATTAATAATTTTTTTGCTTTTTCATTATTATATTATGACTGCATAATAAACCAAAATATCAAATTACATTTATTGTTATACTCTTTTGAGAAACATTTGTTTGAATAAACAGTTTATTTCAGGTTATTTATTCAGTACATATGTTAGTTGGCCATACTTCATAATAGACATGTTGTTAGCCATAACCACTGGTTTTCAGAGTTCTTATTTATTCGTATTTTTATACTCTTTTGTTATTTGCTTCTTATTCACTGCTTTATTTTTTCCGCCCTCTGGAGTTTACTCACTGCTTTATTTGTTTTCGCCCGCTGGGTTTTAATTTGGGCATTTGTATGTTAATTTATGCAACATTCTTTTTTATGCCTGATTATGTTGAGGAATAAAGTGGTGAGTGCTACTGTTATCGTTTTTAGAAGAAGTCTGGAAATAAAAGTGATCGGAATCGAGATTATAGAGTTGTATTTTTTTGTATTCGTGAAACCAGAAAATTGGTAGCAGAGCGAGGTTACGTTATTGGTGAATGTATTTGATATATTTTGTAAGTCGAAATGGAGCAGAAGGAAAATATAGTGGAGCCTTTCGACATTGTTGATCAGGCGGAAACAGCCGCTAAAAATGATGATCGTTTGTGTGATCTCAAACAGCAGAAGGCGAAAGCTAAAAGTGCTTTTACACGGGCTAAAAATCACCTTTTATACCTTTTGGATGATCAGGATATGCCAAGCAGAAGGGAGGTGAAAGAAAGTAGAAAGAAATTGATTTTAGCTCAAGAAAAGCTAATGGATAGTCTGAGTGCTTTGTCTGACGAATATTGTGATTTTAAAAATAGAAAACAGATTACGATTGAGATGGAGAAAATCGATCGAGAGTTTGCCGAAGCGCAGGATAAAGCGCAAGAATTATTTGACAATCGGCGTGATGAATCGTCGAGTATTGCCTCTGATATTTCTGCCATTGTAAAACAGAAACAGCTTGTGCAAATTAAGGCTCGTCACAATGTGGAATGTCTTAGACAGGAAGCTATGTTTAAGGAACAAATGATAAGGGATACAAAAAAAAGTGGGATGAGGAACTTGTTTGTCGAAAACGAGAATTAGATGAGGAAATGAATGAAATTAATCAGCAATTGTTGTCGGCTGAAGCAGATGCTGTTAAAAGAAGCACTGAGCTTGAAAATACGTTAAAACAGGAATTAGGAATTGATCCAATACCTGTAAAATCATGTACGGAAAAGGCTGCAGACGTTGATGAAATGAAGCATGTAAGTTTTGAACCACAATTTCAGAATCATTTGTTGGATACGTCCCACTTGCATTCTTCAGCTGTAAACATAGGACAGACCTTTGGAAACAGTTAAAAAGAGTATCCATTCCCATTTTTTCGGGTGATATTAAAACATAAGAAAGTTGGAAGGCTGCTTTTAATGCATGTATTGATCAAGCTCCGGCTACTCCAGAGTATAAATTGTTACAATTGCGCCAATATCTTTCAGGTAATGCCCTTAAAGTAATCGATAGTTTAGGGCATTCTGCAGCAGCCTATCAAGCAGCTAAGGATAGATTAGAAAGGAAATACGGAGGCCACCGTCGAAAAATGGCTATCTATCTTGAACAACTTGAACAGTTTCGGACAATGCGTCCGGGAAATGCAGGGGATATCGATAAATTTGCTGATTTGTTGGATGTTACTGTTATAAATTTGAATGAGTCTGGCAACGAAGATGAATTAAGATCAGGATCATTATACAATTTATTACAAAGAAAAATGCCTGAAAACATGTTGTCAAGATACTATAGATGGGTGTATGAGACAAAGGTAAATGAATCGGTTGAATCTCTTCGAATATGGATAAATAAAGAAGCCGAATTTCAAACAATAGCACATGAAACAATTACAGGAATTATGACTGAAAACAAACCAGGAAATAATACGTCCAGAAAACAAGAAAAAACACGAACGATGTTTTCTAACTCAAGCAGCTACAGAGTATGTACATTATGTAATGCAAATCATGGAATATGGGCATGTGACCAGTTTAAAGAAATGAATATTAAACAACGATGGGATTTTGCAAAAACAAAGAATTTATGCTATCGATGTTTAGGGGCTAATCATAGAGGACGGGATTGTACACGAAGCAGAGTTTGTGGACTAAGCGGATGTAAGTACAATCACAATCGTCTGTTACATGGTGATAAGTCTGTGCTA